ATTGATTCAATTAGTTTTTTTTAAACATAAAAAATATGAATCTAAATACCAAGAACAAAATAGAATATAAAAAAACATAGTCTCTCATAATTAATGTACTCTGCAACAGCCCTCTTCATACAAGTAATAAATATAAAAACAACAAATTGAATAAAAATTAAACAAACAGAAATAAAAAATATAGATTGAACTAGTTTGTTAGCACATACTATATGAATCCAAAGATGCACATAATATATGAATCCAAAGACAAGGAACAAAAAAGAAGTGACAAAATAGAGTATTGCATACATAATGCAGTATACAAAACACAACTTTCTACAAGCAATAAGTTTAAGGACACGGTTAGCATGCGGCCAAGCCCACACATGTAGAAATGCGGGCTCCTGAATTAATTTATTTTTAAAATAAAATTCGATCCTAATTTTAGGGAATATAAAATCTTTAATATAGATATTACGAATATGAAAAAATAAATAAATTTTAAAAACTGAAAATAATAATTCTATTAAAAAATATTTAGACTATTAGTCTCAATTGGTTTTAGATGGATCACTTATTTGCATTCATCTTTAAGATGAATGTTTATAACTCATGACCGCATATCGTACAAATGCAGTCCAGCCCGTACGAAACAATTGTTCTAAATATAAACATTACAAACTTGAACATAAACAAATGGGAAATATAGAAAAAAAAGAATACATAACATAAATCGACTTCTACGATGTTCCAAGTGGGGGAAAATGCAAAGGGACGAGAGACCATAGTTAGCAAGTCGGGAGTATCAACATATCGCTTCACTATAAAATCGAAAATAAATCGTTTTTATTTTAAAAAGTCGAATGAAAAATTCGGATAAAAAATACGGATCAGCAAAAATACTTTATGTAAAAATATCGTAAATAAATCGAACTAAGCTAAAAAAATCGGAGTGAAAAAAACAGATAGGTTAACTATGTACCATACTAACTATCATAATTATGCTCCATACTAACTATCATAACCATGCACTATACTAGCCATGTTAATTTGAATTCTAAATTAAAAGCTTGAGCCATGCTAACCATTTAGTCATGTAATTCAAAGCTTGTGCGTGTGCACCATACTAACTATTTGGTCATGTTGATGAATTCCAAATCCAAAGGTGGTGCATGTTTCTTTGAGGTACTTACCCATTTACTCATGACACGTGTTGAATACCCAAAAAAGCTAAGTGTTACTTGCCCAAAAAACCATCACTTTTAAGTTTTAATACAACAAATGGAGCGGGGAGGGAAAAGAGAGAAGTGGTTGCAGAGAAAGACAGACAGAGAAGAAATGAACGTAGAGAAAGAGAGAAGGGGGGTGACCACCAATCTCTCATAGAATAGCACTGAAGAGCAGGCACATGCACGTGCAGAGGTTTTTCAGGTGGTGTTGTCTTTTGAAGTAGATGGTGAACCTGTTTGTAAAGAAAATCAGGTGGATGAGCTGTGTAGAACTCAGACGGTGCTGTCTTTTTTGAAGCTGATAGATTGTTGAATCAGGTTTAGGGAACAACCCTAATTTTTTTTACCTTTTTTTTTTTTTTGCCTTAATGTAATATTCTTTGAGCTATGTTACATTTGGGGATTTTTGAGCTATGTTAAATTTTGGAACTTTTGATAGTTAATGTTGAATATGTGCTTTAAAAGTTCTCACTATGATACGGTTCTCTTTTTTCCCTAATCTATTTTTTCCTAATTTTTTTCAAGATGTTAAATTTGGGGATTGTTTATAATTATTTATATCTATCTTTTTTTCTAATGTATTTTCTCCTAATTTCTTTGAGATGGTTCTCTATCAGTGGTTATCTTTCTCTCTCTGTGTATTGGAGCTTGATATCGAGCATTATAAACAGTGATTGATAACTAGTAAATAAATTTCCTAATCTATTTTCCCCTAATTTCTTTCTATGAGCGATTCTCTTTGGAGCTTTATATCAAGCATTATGGACACGGATTAATACCTAGTAAATAAATTCATAAAGATATTAAATGACATTTAATTCAAAAAATAAAAATAAACTAGTGATCAATACAATATAAAGCTGCAATACAATAAAGCCTATAAATCTCTGTGAGCATTCAGTGATTTTCTACAATAAATCGGCAGCCATATGCAAGGAGCACATTTTTTTTTTTTTAAAAGAAAGAAATAAAAACAAGAAAAAGGTAAATGAACTTTTTCTTTAGGTATAAAAATGAACTTTTTTGGAAAAGAAAACATGTAAATAAACGTTCCCAAAAAAAAACAGATGTTATTAATAGTAAAGTTTTTTTAGAACTATTTATTGTAAATATAGAACTATTTATTGTAAATATAAAAAAATTACGTTTTAAATTTTTTCATAAAAAAAGCGAATTTTTGACACTCTTTTGAATAATACGCCAATTAAAAGGGAAAAACTCCGATTTCTTGAAATAATCGCGTTTAATACGGCTATTTGCAAACAATGCGAGAGGCACATGAGAGGGAAAGGGATTAGAGAGGGAAGAGGGGCGAGAGATGTAGGGCGTCCACATTCAGCGGGACCGACAGAGAGAGAGCATAGTTATTAGTTTGCAACACGATTTTTTTAAAAAAAAAATCTCCGATTTTTTAAAATCCGTTTAGAATTACGAGTTTTTCAAAAGATCTTCAAAAAATTGCATTTTTTCATGGAACCGATGGAATCTGTATTTTATCTTTTTTTCAAAAAACTTCTTCATTAATTTAATATTATTGAATTTTTATTAAAAGATAAGCAAATTAATAGTAGGAGTAAATTAAGAATCTTGATTTAAAGTAAAATTCCATAAAATAGTACAAAATAATATCCCTTAAATACGTTTACAAAAAATTACAAACAATATATTCCCCAAAAAAATAAGATATCAGAATAATTGTGTAACCCAAAATAATAGGCAGAATTAGAAGACTAACCCAATGAAAAACCCTTTTTTTTTTCTCTTTAAACCCCGTGCATCCTTATTAAGAACATTTTGTGTGAGATTCAAAATTGCTTACAGATTTTGTATACTAAATATTTAAGTAGCTAGGAATTCAGTTTGAAATTCGAATTTGCTTAAATATTTTGTTGCTTTTTTAATATGAGAAATGATCCTATAGGACCCTCCTCCACCCATGTGTGTAGGACCCTAAAGGATCACCATTAAATTTGACAGGGATCTATAAAAAAGTTAAATCCCACACCTATGTGATAACTTTTTTAGAGATTCGTATCAACTTTAATGGTGATCATTTGGAGTCCTACACACAGGGTCTTATAGGATAATTACTCTTTTAATACGTAGAGAAGTTTAATTATTTTTATTTTTTATTTTATTGGTGTTTACAACATAGTATTTTGGATGGACTACTATTTTATGTATTTGGGTCCTCATTTTGTTTTAGTTAATTGCAATCCTATACTGATGGTCTTTTTTGTACTTCTTTTTTCTTGAAACAATAATATATCTTAGTTTAGGGTGCAGTTGGCATACGGATGCATCCGTAGCTATAGAGGTAAGGTGCACCTTCAAATTTTATCATGGTATATAATTTTGAAGTAAAATGTTCTTAGGATTATTTGAAAATCTATTTTTACATCTAATTATAAAAATTTTAAATTTCAAAAATAGTTAAAATCAAGTAGATCTATAAACATAC